TTTCGCAGCCCGAAAGGGAGTACATTAAATTCATACAGCCCGAGATGTGTGATGAAGGCTGACCTTTCCTTGGCAGATTCATCTAGCGGTACCTGCCAGTACCCCTTGGTTAAGTCCAAGGTAGAGATGAACTGGGCCCGTCCCAGTTTCTCTAATAGTTCATCTGTGCGTGGCATTGGATAGTTGTCTGGGCGAGTTACAGCATTTAGCTTACGGTAGTCCACGCAAAAACGTATTTCCCCATCTGGTTTGGGAACTAGAACCACTGGAGATGCCCATGCACTTTCAGAGGGGCGGATTACCCCCATCTGTAACATATCCTGGATCTCCCGTTCTATAGCAGTTTTAGCTTGAGGAGACACCCGGTAAGGTTGGACCCTAATTGGGTGAGCATTACCTGTGTCAATGGAGTGGTATGCCCGTTCAGTCAGTCCTGGGGTGGCTGAGAACGTTGGCGCGTAGCTAGTGCACAGCTCCTGGATCTGCTGTCGCTGCATACGCCCAAGGGTCATGGAGAGGTTCACCTCTTCCACACCACCAGCACATTTCCCTTCGTAGTAAACACCTTCAGGCCACTCAGCGTCGTCTCCTCCCTGGGCTGTAAACTGACAAACCTTTAATTCTCTGGAATAAAAGGGCTTTAGAGAATTAATATGGTACACCTTAGGCTTTCGGTTGGAGGTGGGGAATGCTATGAGATAATTAACAGCTCCCAGGCGCTCCTGGACCGTGAATGGCCCTTCCCACGATGCTTCCATTTTATGGGCCTGGAGCGCCTTTAAGACCATGACCTGGTCTCCTACTTTGAAGGAACGCTCTCTGGCATGTTTATCATACCAGGCTTTTTGCTCTTTTTGAGCATCCTGTAAGTTTTCTCTAGCAAGGGCTAAAGAGGTTCGGAGGGTGTTCTGTAGGTTGGTTACAAAGTCCAGAATGTTAGTTCCTGGAGAAGGTGTAAATCCCTCCCATTGCTGCTTCACCAACTGCAATGGCCCCTTAACCTCACGGCCATATACAAGTTCAAATGGGGAAAACCCTAAACTGGGATGTGGTACAGCTCTGTAGGCAAAGAGCAACTGCTGCAACACTAGGTCCCAATCATTGGAGTGCTCATTTACGAATTTACGTATCATGGCCCCCAAAGTTCCATTAAACTTCTCCACCATGCCATTTGTTTGATGATGGTAAGGAGTGGCAACCAAGTGATTTACCCCATGAGCTTCCCAAAGGTTTTTCTTAGTTCCTGCCAGGAAATTAGTCCCTGCATCTGTGAGGATGTCGGAGGGTCAACCTACCCTGGCAAAAATGTCTGCTAGTGCCTGACACACACTTTTAGCCCTGGTGTTGCTTAGAGCTACTGCTTCCGGCCATCGGGTGGCAAAATCCATGAAAGTCAGTATGTACTGCTTTCCTCTGGGTGTCTTTTTCGGAAAAGGACCCAGAATATCCACAGCTACTCGCTGAAATGGAACTTCAATGATGGGGAGTGGCTGGAGAGGGGCTTTGACCTGGTCTTGGGGTTTTCCCACTCTTTGGCACACCTCACAAGACTGGACATAGATAGAAACATCCTTGCCCATTCCCTCCCAGTGGAATGACCCCCCCAAACGGTCTTTGGTCCTGTTCACCCCAGCATGGCCACTAGGGTGATCATGGGCTAAGCTCAAGAGCTTGGCCCGGTATTTAGTTGGAACTACCAACTGTCTCTGAGGATGCCAGTCTTCCTGGTGTCCACCAGAAAGAGTTTCCTTGTATAAAAGTCCTCTTTCTACAACAAACCTGGATCGATTAGAAGAGCTGAGAGGCAGTGGGTTGCTCCGTGCCGCCATCCAAGCTCTCTGGAGGCTTTCATCTGCTTCCTGTTCGGTCTGGAACTGTTCCCTTTCTGCTGGAGACATCAGTTCCTCATGGGATTGTGGACCTAGGCTTGGTCCCTCTGGAAGCGATATAGGGGATGGAGCTGTTTCTGTTGACTGTGAACCGCTCTCCGCTGGTGCACTATGTTGGGATTCAGGCTCCGGCTGAGCCTCTTGGGTCGGGTTATCGGCTGCTGCCAGTTCAGGTTCGGTGGGGCCCTCTGGTGTTGAGGTTGCAAGTACTGGATTCAGTGCTGACATGGGGTCTGGTGTTGGTTGTTCGGCTGGTTCCGGTTCTGGGACTGGTTCCGTCTGGGTCTCTGGGACTGGATCCACTACTGCTGTTGCAGACATTGGCCTGGGGTCCAGGTCCATCACCTCTGACTGGGTCCTGATAGAAGTTTCCGGAACAGAGCTAGGCCTCACGGCTTGTTTAGCCTGGCTGCGGGTGACCATTCCCACCCTCTTGGCCTGCTTCACATGATTGGCCAAGTCTTCCCCCAACAGCATGGGGATGGGATAATCATCATAGACTGCAAAAGTCCACATTCCTGACCAGCCCTTGTACTGGACAGGCAACTTGGCTGTAGGCAAATTGAAAGAGTTGGACTTGAAGGGTTGAATCGTCACTTGGATCTCTGGGTTGATTAAATTGGGGTCCACTAAGGAAGCATGGATAGCTGACACTTGTGCTCCGGTGTCCCTCCACGCGGTGACCTTCTTCCCGCCCACACTCACAGTTTCCCTCCGCTCCAAGGGTATCTGGGAGGTATCTGGGCCTGTGGACCTCTGGTGTGATTCCGGTGCAATGAACTGTAATCTGTTGGGGTTCTTGGGGCAGTTGGCCTTTACATGCCCCAGCTCGTTACACTTAAAACATCGTCCAGCTGACGGGTCACTGGGGCGAGGAGGGTTGCTGGAGAACGGGGTGGTGGGACGATAAGGGGTCTGGAGGGTTCTTTGGGAGGTAGGTGGGGCTTTGGGCGGCCCCCGGTAATAGGGTGTGGTCTGGGGTGGTCCCTTCTGGTCTCCGCTCCAACTGCGACCAGTTTTCTTCTTCTCTGCCACCTCCACCCATCTGGCTCCAATCTCTCCTGCCTCAATTACAGTTTTGGGTTTCCCATCTAGGATGTATCTTTCTATTTCCTCAGGAACACCCTCTAAGAATTGTTCCATTTGCATTAGGAAGGGCAAATTTACTGGAGATTCAACACTTGCTCCTGATATCCAGGCATCCCAATGTTTCACAATGTGGTAGGCATGTCGGGTAAATGACATGTCTGGTTTCCACCTTAGGGCTCTGAACCTCCGACGAGACTGCTCGGGTGTTATCCCCATTCTGACTCTCGCCTTGGATTTAAACAGTTCATACTTGTTCATGAGTTCTTTAGGCATTTCAGCTGCCACCTCAGCTAAGGGTCCACTGAGCTGCGGCCTCAGCTCTACCATGTATTGGTCAGTAGAGATGTTGTACCCAAGGCAGGCCCTTTCGAAGTTCTCTAAGAAGGCCTCAGTATCATCACCTGCCTTGTAGGTGGGGAACTTTCTGGGATGGGAAGTGGTACCTGGAGAAGGATTGCTAGGGTTTGTTGGTATATTCTGCTGGGCCTTTATCTTCTCCACCTCCTCCACATGCTTCCTCTCTTTTTCCTTCTCCTCCAGTTCTTTGGCCCTTGCTTCCATTTCTTTGTCCCTTGCTTCCATTTCCCTCTTGTGGGCAGCCTCTTGGTGTTGTTCTGCCTCCCTTTCTTGTTCCTTCTTCAGCTGCATGAGTTCTATCTGTCTTTCATGTTCCCTTTGTCTTTCCTCAGCCTGAAATTTGGCTAATTCAAGCTGTAGTCGAGCCGCGGATTTTGCCATTCTAACCTCTCTGTTTTTACTAACTTTACACCCGAGGTTTAGAAATAAACAAACAAAACTTGGCTGTAAAATTTTGCTGTGCTGCAATAGAATACCTATTCTCTGATAGTGATTGTCAGCCTACAGAAAAAGACAATTCCCTTGTCTCTGCTCTGGGCCCAAATTAAAGCAAAAAACCTCCAACTGCTTGGAAACCTGCTTACCCAGCCCAAAGAAAAAGCAAATGGGTAGAACACACACCCCCTATTTACTTTTAGGAAGAAAAGAAAAAAAACCAATGGGTTGGAAGACTGTAAATTTCCCTGCAGGAGTTAAGTACCCTGCCTCCAGGCAAAGAAAACCTGCAATTCACAAGATAATCCCCTTTTGTCTCTGCTTGGCCACAAAGCAGAGAGAAACCAAGCTGCTTTCAGTTTCAAAGCTGCTTTCTGGACTTTCTTTCCAAAGAAAAAAAAATTTCCTTTTTAAAATCTGTATTTCTAGTTCAAAAAATCTCAACTGGATCTCAGATGATTTCAGGTTAATCCCACCACTGTGCCACCATGTCAAGGTTCCTCCCCCACTCTGAACTCTAGGGTACAGATGTGGGGACCTGCATGAAAAAACCCCCTAAGCTTATCTTTACCAGCTTAGGTCAAAACTTCCCCAAGGTACAAAATATTACACCCGTTATCCTTGGAATGGCCGCTACCACCACCAAACTAATACTGGTTACTGGGGAAGAGCTGTTTGGACGCGTCTTTCCCCCCAAAATACTTCCCAAAACCTTGCACCCCACTTCCTGGACAAGGTTTGGTAAAAAGCCTCACCAATTTGCCTAGGTGACTACAGACCCAGACCCTTGGATCTTAAGAACAATGAACAATCCTCCCAACACTTGCACCCCCCTTTCCTGGGAAATGTTGGATAAAAAGCCTCACCAATTTGCATAGGTGACCACAGACCCAAACCCTTGGATCTGAGAACAATGAAAAAGCATTCAGTTTTTACAAGAAGACTTTTAATAAAAATTAGAAGTAAATAGAAATAAAGAAATCCCCCCTGTAAAATCAGGATGGTAGATATCTTACAGGGTAATTAGATTCAAAAACATAGAGAACCCCTCTAGGCAAAACCTTACGTTACAAAAAAGATGCACAGACAGAAACAGTTATTCTATTCAGCACAATGCTTTTCTCAGCCATTTAAAGGAATCATAATCTAACACATACCTAGCTAGATTACTTACTAAAAGTTCTAAGACTCCATTCCTGTTCTGTCTCTGGCAAGAGCAGCATACAGACAGACACAGACCCTTTGTTCCTCTCCCTCCTCCCAGCTTTTGAAAGTATCTTGTCTCCTCATTGGTCATTTTGGTCAGGTGCCAGCGAGGTTACCTTTAGCTTCTTAACCCTTTACAGGTGAGAGGAGCTTTCCCCTGGCCAGGAGGGACTTCAAAGGGGTTTACCCTTCCCTTTATATTTATGACAAACCCCATGTTTGCCTGTTTCCTGGTCCCATCTTCTCTCTGCACAGGCTAGCAGTGCTGCAGAGGCAGAACCTTGAGCCGTAGGAGGTTGTGGGTGTGGAAGTCACCAGGTTTTTGCAAGCAATTCCCTCAGATGATTAAGGATCTCTGAAGGGAGGAGTGCCTATGCATCCTCCAGCAGAAAGGCAGTGGGGGTAATGAGATGCAGAGGTGAAGGGAGAAGGCAGGGAATCCTTAAGCTTCTGGAAACAGGGATGCAGGGGACATCTCTAGCATCTCTGCAACACAGCAAAGGATTGGGCTTGGGGTCAGTTTTTCAGAACACTTCATTTCAATTCCTATTTAGAAAAAGAATAGTTGGCAACTTTCCCATTGTTCTGAGTTTCCGCTGGAATCTATCCCTGAGCGTGAACAGAGCCGGAGATGACGAACATCTCACAATGGTGGGATAAAAGGATGCTTTCTTAACACATACCAGTAGCATTCAGACAGCACCTAGAGCTCCTATCAGAAGTCAATACAAATGGGATGTGAAACCCAACAGTGTAGTTTAAATTTGGTTTTATTTATAATAAAAACCAGATAGCCCCATTCGTCTCAGCTAATCCCCTATACTTATACCAGCGGGGCAGTAAACCTCACTGGGCTGAAGAGTTTATTGTCCACGTTCCAAACTTCATCAAGCTTAGCTGCCCCTTTGTTTTCCCTCTGGGCTCCTTCATGAGATGTGGTAAACCTAGTTACAGTCAAAATGCTATCATTATTCTTACTTCATTTTCATAGAGATCCGGGATCAAACCCAGTGGAGAGTTGACCATTCGGACTGTATTGGTGCCGAAGAGTTTATACTCATACTGGACAAGCTGTCGCCAGAACCCATTGTTAGGTCTGATGATGGGACGGCAGGACTTGACCCAGGCATGAGCATTCGCGAGAGACATGGCATGGTACTTCATCAAATAGGCCAGACACAGGGCAGCTGACCTGCTGATGCCTGCAGCGCAGTGTAGCAGTGTCCGGCCTTGCTGTAGGTCCACATTATGGATCCTATCTGCCACGAGGTCAAAGTAATCGTAGAGGCGAGAGATGGGGGTGTCAGTTACAGGGATGTGCATGTAGTGAATGTCTGGATAGAAGGTGTTCACCACCTCCACAGACACATTGATGACAGTAGTGATCTGGCTGGCGAAGAGCAGGAGCTTGTTATTCGCAGCCGTACCATTGCTGAGGTACAGGCTACTGGTGATCCGGGACAGGCCATAAATGGACGGATGCCTGAATAAGATGGGAATAGTCCCCAAAACTGTATTCATTAAGGCAAACTTTATAAACCAGCTGCAATGGAGGGCTGCATCGTCACGCTCTTTGCCTAGGGAAAACAGAGAGAAGACACTTGGGAGACTGAAGGCAGTAGATTGCTGCCACCAAACTAGTAAAGGTTAAGTTTTCACGTGCTTTAAAAATTAACTAGATCTAGAATCATCCACGTTAAAGATGGGGAAGCCATCTTAGGCCTCATCCAGTCCAGCTCCCAGCCAATGCATGATCGCTTTATAAATGCAGAGTGATTCCATCTGATGTCACAAGTGAAGCGGGTTTTCACTCCTTTTCCAAGAGACTATTCCACAGCCTAATGGAGTTCACGCTCATGACAGGCAAGCTGCCAAACAAATCCAAGAGCACGTGCAGTAAGCACATTCTGTACCACAAACACCTGCAGCAAGCCTTAGCCTGACTTGCAAGGATGCCCTAGATGTCTACTAGGGAAGAGCATTGCAAGATTATGGACCGCGAATGGAGAAGGCCCTGTGCCCAGCCTTTCAAGACTGTTCTCTAGGGACACATCTAAACCCACCAACCCCAGCTACTGTATTAGAACAGTTACTGTATTAGACTCTCAACCTTTCCAGGCTACTGTAGCCCTTCAGGAGTCTGATTTGTCTTGTGTACCCCAAGTTTCATTTCATTTAAAAACTACTTGCTTACAAAATCAGACCTAAAAATACAAGTGTCACAGCACACTGTTAATGAAAAATTGCTGACTTTCTCATTTTTAGCACATAATTATAAAATAAATCAACTAGCATATAAATATTGTACTTACATTTCAGTGTATAGTCTATAGAGCAGTATAAACAAGTCATTATCTGTATGAAATTTTAGTTTGTATTGACTTTGCTAGTGCTTTTTATGTAGCTTGTTGTAAAACTAGGCAAATATCTAGATGAGTTGATGTACCCCTTGGAAGACCTCTGCATACCCCTAAGGGTACATGTACCCCTGGTTGAGAACTACTGTATTTGAATAAAGAAAAGGAATACTTGTGGCACCTTCGAGCCTCTAAGGTGCCACAAGTACTCCTTTTCTTTTTGCAGATACAGACTAACACGGCTGCTACTCTGAAACCTGTATTTGAATACAGGCTCTGTCTCAGGTAGACAAGTCCTTGTTGAACAATACTAAGCAGCCATTAAACAGGGCTCAGAATTAGCTCCATCCCCTCCTCCAGCTTTCACAACAAGTTAGAAATGTACAGGAGCCCACTAGATGATACTGAGCTATGGCCAAAAGGAAGGAAAAACCCAGGCCCTATATTGTACAGTGATAGAAACTGTGAGAGGGCTGGGCAACAGCATGAACCATTGGGGCCAGCCTTGCTTTTTCCAGCCAGGTGGAATCTACAGTGGGCAGCCTCATGCTTGGATATTTATATATAGGCTGGGCCGAATCTGAATTTTTTAAAATAATTTTGACAGAGATATATTTTTTAAAATTAAATGGTTACTGATTTAAATTTATGCATGAATTATGTGGGGGTCAACATCAAGCAGCATTATTCTTTGTATGTCTGTAACGTCTATCAGCTATGGAAATATTTTTTTTGTTGGTTTACGTATATAAAGTAAAACTGACATTTACTGATAAAAATCTAATCCTTCCAAGCCTATTTGTATAGTCCTATGTGGATGAAAAGGTTTATAGAAACATAAAATGATGTATTATGGGTTTAAAATTATGAGTTTAGGTTACAAACATGGGTTATATATTGACTGCAGTCAATGCTTGCAGTTTATTGGTTATGATCTTGGGTTATGTATAGGGTTAAGATTGGGTTGTGTGTTTCAGATATGTTACAATTTACACATGAGAGTTACACTTGTGGGTTAGAGTTACAAATATGGATTGGATTTGGCATAACCAGTTATAGGTTTCAGGTAAATGGTTCATTTTACATTCAGATTTCATAGTAGCAGCCATGTTAGTCTGTACCCACAAAAAGAAAAGGAGGACTTGTGGCACCTTAGAGACTAACAAATTTATTTGAGCATAAGCTTTCGTGAGCTACAGCTCACTTCATCAGATGCATTCTGAGCTGTAGCTCACGAAAGCTTATGCTCAAATAAATTTGTTAGTCTCTAAGGTGCCACAAGTCCTCCTTTTCTTTTTATATTCAGAGTTATGGATTGCTGGTGAGAGTAAAGATCAGCATTAGGATTCATTTACAGATTACATGTTACTGTTGGTGAGTTAGGGTTACAACTATGAGAGTAAATGATAATTTGTAAAGTGCACTGAACTCCTCAAATGGCAGGTACTATGTAAGTTCAAAGTGCTAGTATCAGGATTTACACTCTCAGATGTTTACCTGCTCTTTTTTCCCCACTGACCCTTAGCAGAGCTGTGCATAATGACAGGTTTCAGAGTAACAGCCGTGTTAGTCTGTATTCGCAAAAAGAAAAGGAGTACTTGTGGTTAGTCTCTAAGGTACCACAAGTACTCCTTTTCTTTTAGCAGAGCTGGTTGCCTTTTGGTGCAGAAAACTGCTGTTTCTGCTTTAGGATTACACTCCTGCTCTGTCTCTATGAAAGTGTGGCAACTATAGGAGGAAACAGGAGCAGGGTGGCATGCTATCTCCTGCAGCGTAGGGTACTGCACCACAACTGAATTCAGAGTGCTTCAAGGAGAGGCCATTTCTGCATCCCAAAGCTACCGTTTGGCCATCCCTGCACAGCTGCAAGAACAGTCTCACAAGGTTACATAAAGTGCAAGGTGAAAGATAGCCAATGACCTCAACACATAATGCAAAATGGGGGGAAGTGGAGAAATTATACGGGTTACTTTGCTATCATTACAATCATTTCAAATCCTAATGCACCAAGTGATCCGACAGTGCTTAACAAACACACACAACGACCACTGTCCACAGCCTGAATGCACCCACTTCTGCGTCCACAATAGTTTAGGGCAAAAGGTGTAGAAAAATGGTGAGCTGAGTGTGTGTGTGTCTTTCAAGGAAGGGAACCTGTGGGAGTAAACACTGAAAGGCTTTGTAGAGCTTTGGCAGGAGGTGCGGAGGAATGAATGTTCAGGTTCCTGAGACTTGGAAATCCTGAAACTTAACAGGGCTATAATGAGGCTCCCCTGCCCTTTTCTCAATGGAGGCAGGCCCTGGCTCATGGGCAGGAAGCCTAGCAGGAGACTTTATTCTCATTTGTAACCTCTCTGTTTGAACACAGGACTCTGACCGACTCCGTGCTGTGAATACTTGTAACTTATCATTCTGCTTATAACCCAGCATGGTTATCGGTATAGTGGTTATGTCTAGCAGCCCCAGGCATGGCCCAGGACTCTGTGGTGCCCGGTGCTGTACAGCCTGCCCCAAGCGCTAGCACTGGAAGGCAGGTGGCTCAGTGGGTGCTGGGCACTGCCTGCCCCACGTGCGGGACAAGGGTGAGTCAGCCCTGCCCCAAGAGATGTGATGCTGGGGCTGTGCTGTACCTTCTGGCTCAGGGGTGGGCAAACTACAGCCCGCAGGCCGGATTCAGCCCACAAACCGTTTTAAGCCAGCCCATGAGCCACACCACGTGGCTCGGTCCTGCTCTGGTGCTCCGGCCGCACCGCTGGGTCGGGGCCGCTCACATGGCTCTTGGAAGCTGCGTCATGGCCCCGCTTCGGTTCCTATGCAGTCCAATGATTCCCATCGGCGCTCCAATGGGAGGTGCGGGGACAGTGCCTGCGGATGGGGCAGCATGCAGAGCCGCCTGGCCGCACCTCCGCCTAGGTGGAGCTGGAGACGGGATATGCCCCTGCTTCTGGGAGCTGCCTGAGATAAGTGCCACTTGAAGCCTGCCTCTGAGCTCCTCCCCACGCCCCTGCCCCAGCCCTGATCCCTCTCCCGCCCTACAACCCCCTCGATCCCAGTCCAGAGCACCCTCCTACACGCCAAACTCCTCATCCCCAGCTCCACCCCTGAGCCCGCACAGCCTCCCGCAGCCCAACCCCAATTTTGTGAGCATTCATGGCCCGCCATATAAGTGCTATTCCCCGATGTGGCCCGCGGGCCAAAAAGTTTGCCCCCCCCCCAATCTAGCTGGCGGCCAGCGTCCAAGCCGCTCCGCGGCGGGGAGCTCATGGCCGGGCCCGGCCGGCCCAACCCCCCTGGCTCCGCACAGAAATAACCCGTCGCGAAGGGGCTCCCGCAGCTGGGGCCTTCCGGCGACCCTGCTGGCGGCGGGCTGGGCCGGGGCCCCGGGAGGGGCTGTGAGGCTCCGGACCGTGGGACGCCCCCGCCCGGCTGCGCTCACCCCCCCGGGCCTGCACTCACCCCCCGTCCCCCCCGGCGCCACCTCCTGCCTCTGACCCCGACACCGCGCGGCTCCCCGGTCTCCGGGGCAACCGTCCACGGGGCCCGCGCAGGGACAATCGCGCCCCTCCAGCGCTGCGGGCGAGCCCGAGAACCACTCCCGGGATCCCGCACCTCGCCGAGCCCAGGATCGCCACCGGTGCCCCGGGATCCCGCACCTCCCGAGCCCCCAGTCCCCCCCGCATCGCCCCCGGGGTCCCGCCGCGATCGCCACCCACCAGACCCCTCTTCCCTGCGGCCCTTGTGACACGCCGGCCCCGAGGCAGCGGCTCGGCCCAGCCGAGCCGCGATGGAGGAGCAGAAGGTCTCGCGGCCCCGGGTCACCTTCTTCCAGCCCCGCGTCAACCAAGTGCTGGTGCTGTTCAGGTGCGGGCCGGGGCGAAGGGCACAGGGACCCCCCCACACTGCACAGGGAGCTCCGCCCCCCACGACCACCCCCTGGCAGAGGGACCCCCACTTTCTCCCTGGCACAGGGACCCGCCCACTTCACAGGGACTCCCGGCCCCCCACTTCTACCACCAGACACAAGGACCCTCCCAATTGCACAGAGACCCCCCCTGCCTTCCACTTCTATCCTGGGGCACAGGGACCCCCTCGCAGGGACCCTCTGGCCTCCAACTCTCACCCCTGGGCACAGGGACCCCACGATCCTACTCTCTACCCCCCACTCTCATTCCCTGACACAGGGACCCTCGGCCACCCACTCACTCCTGGGCACAAGGGATCCCCCTAGCACAGGGACACACCCCTGCCCTGCACAGGGACCCTCCATCCCCCCACTCTTGCCCCTGGACAGGGAACCCCCGTCCCCGACACACACATAGGGGCACACCCCCGCCCCACATAGCGACCTCTTACCTCAGGCACAGGGAGGGAGCGCCCTGTTCCCCCCTCACCCTGGCCACAGGTAGTCCTTTTTCTTTCTCACCTTCCCTTGGGGACAGGACATCTCTCTGCAACATCTGTCCTCCTATTGACAGCCCTTTCCTGCTCTCAGTCTGAACACCCCACCACCCCCATTGGTACATCTCTGAGGGAGGTGTATTAGGGAAATGGGAGGGGAAAGGAGAGGATGCACTGTGTACTTTTTTGGGTGAAGGAGGCAATTGAGATAAGTGTATTGGCAGGGGCCAGGGGTAGGACTGAGCTGTGTGTTCACTGAGGGGCTGGGATGAGAGGAGAGAGCATCAGTGTATTTGGTGGCAGAAGGGACTAGACTACATGTTCTTGGGGTGAGGGTGTTGGTGGCTGGGCTAGTGTTTCTCTCTCTGGGGGATGAGAGAGCCTGATAGAAATCCTGTATACTGGGTGGAAGATTCGGTGTGACCTCTCAGTTGGAAGGCTCAGACTTTGGTGATAAATATCTGAGACCTAAAATACACGCCTTCGAGCCATGTGACGTCAGCAAAGAATGTGAACTCTTGAGTAAGGCAGGGTGACTCCATCACCGTGTGGTGTCTGGCTTGCGGGGCTGTGAACAGTAGGGCTAAGCAAGCAATGGTATTGCTTCTCCTGAGCGGGAAAACTATAACAAAGCCCCTTTCCCCTCCTCAGTCTGTTCAATGGCAGTGAAGTGGCTGTGAAAAGGTTTTTGCCAAAGAGTCACTTATCCACGGTCATCATCCGTGACAACACCAGTGTCCAGCGAATTCAGGAGATAAAGGTAACGCTCACACCCCTTCTCTGGCATTTGGAGAGACCCCCAGCACAATGACTAGAG